TAAGGTACGTGTGGTATCCGAAATCCTATTGATACTGACCGACGGACAAACACGTACATGTAAATGCCTTCCGTTGTTCGTAATAATCCGGTACGTGTTCCATGCAGTTTAAGGATTATTTGATGGATTTGTGTGTATATGCGTTGAAAACTTTTGAGTAATCTAATATACTTCCTTTGAAAAGTAGTTTATAGAGTTATGAAATATTATTTAAAAATTGATTGCCAACAATTTTAATTTTTAGAAATCTCTTCGTCCATGCATTTTTATTGTATTTAGCTTTCTTACAACTATCTTTGGCATGTTAATTGGATCATTTAGCTAAGCACATATCATCCCGATATATAATACGTAACATATTATAACGGTTCAGCTTTGTTTCGTAATACTGAGCATTCTCTCGTTGAGTACAATAATGATGAGAGTGTGACGGGCACCGTTTTCTAGACACATTCACAGTTTCGATACCATAATATATATCTACTTTTTCAATCGATTGTTGTTACCGGACAAATGACCTTTAGCGATCGTCATATGTCAAAAGTCTCTGTAAATGCACGCCCATTTTTGAGAGCGATCAGCTTGCCGAGATGGCCGGGCAGACTTTCGTGGACAACAACGGTAATCATGAAGGGGAAATTTAGCTCGAGTGCCTAGAGGAATTTGATATATATATATATATATATATGTATATGTATAAATGTATGCATATATGTATTGGAACCGACGAACCGACATTTTTGGTTACAGGAATGCTGGTGAGAGAATTTTATTTAAAGGAAATATTATATGGTCCGGGGTTGTTATACGGATGCCTGATCTTCTGTCGAGCCGCTTAGGCAGCACAGAGATGCCTGTGGAGGATCTCTGAGTTCGCGTAATTTGCTATGTTGTTTTAAGCGCGGTTGCAATAACATTAAAATATATTCAGCGAGAACTTCATGACTTGTTTAAACGAAAGTAAGCTATTACCCAATAACTGCTTTCCAAAATTTAATTCCCAGCTGTTGGCTTTGCTTCTTACCCCATACCTCTTTAGTTATTATATCAGAACTGTAGCGGATTGTTTCTGCTTTTCTTGTATTCATTTACGATGACAGCGTCCTTGACGAATACTGGCGAGCTTGCTTGCTCGTCACACGTATCAAAGAGAACACCGAAATGCAATTGACAGACTGGCCTTATGCTGAATGAAATCAGATAATTGACCTGCTTAAGTTTACTACAGATTACCGTAAACTACGTCAAGATTGTAACTAATTTAACTAACTATCTTACATCGACAAGTAATAAAATAGTGTAAGCGCAAGACAATGGACAACTTTACCCTCATAATGTATTTGAACTGCGTCCAATGGCATGAATACATATACGAGATTTTCAAATTATTTAACTAAACCAGCTTATCCCTCGAACAGAGTGTCTCTCTAAATGCATATAAACGCCAACGACTCAAAACTTTTTTAATATTAACTCTCGAACTAGTACTTGAAACTTGAAAGCATTTGTGATAGGCTTTTTAATGCGATTTTCATAGGTTTATTATAAATATTGGACATATACGAGTCGTCCTATGATGAATGACATTTTCTTTTATACTTATATGGCAAACATAACGAAATTCTTGTGTGGATTTTTAAGGAAAATTCATTAAAAACTCAATTGTTTATGCAAACACAGACGCACACAAGTTTATTCAAATATCAATGTATGCATAGAAAAATGAATGGATAACTAATAAAATATTATCTTAAATGTATTTACTGTGCTAGTAGTGCACAGCAGATACACAGCAGCATCTACTCTTTTATCTGCTTGAATGGTTTTTATGTAACCAGCAGTGTTCTCTTAGCGTTTGCCTCCTGAAAATTGAATTCAATATTGGAGACTGACCACAAAATTTCTATTTCCAGTATAAATAATTTATACGCATTTACTTATGTGTTTGTCAGTTTGTTTTGTTTGTATGTTTGTTTTTATAATAAATTATGAGAATCTCTTTGTTCGTTTTTAGTGTGCGGCTTTGATACTTTGGCATTTGCCCTCATTGGTTGTTCTTTTCTCTTGTTTTTGTATGCATGTATCTGCATGTATATGCATGCGGTTTAGGTTTTTCTGTAACCTAAAACAACTTTTCATTTCCTACAGAAATTGTTTCCTTAGTCCCCACTGTTCTTGATAAAAAAAAAAAAAAAAGTCTCAAAAGCGAATACATTTTATGGTTTATTCTTTCCTATCGATTGAATGGCTGCTGTGACACATGCTAAATAAATGATAAAGTCTAGTATGATTCGGAATTTTAGCTTAAGATAATTGCAACTTTATGCGTCCGTTTGAAGGGTAAAGAGTTCGATGACCCTCTTGTAATGAATGGACTGCTAGGTAAACTCGGTTAACTCTGGCTTTGGAAAAGCCTTAATTTTTTTTTTTTTTTTTTTTTTTAACATGAGACACTTAGGAGTATCCCCTATCCCACGTATGACACGCTAATGGTTAGGAAAAGGAGGGGAAAGGGAAGGAGATTATGCCTTTATCGACTTAGCACTCATTACAATCAATGAGGTTTCAGCTCGCGAACATTCACCTGCTAGTTGTAATAATCACTCACACAAGTAGAAAACTTAAATTGACCTCTAATATGTGAATCAATTTGATTAGCATGTGACTTAAAGGTAACTTATACTAAGACTCTAAGTTTGCTTCCTAACTTAGAGATGGTACGGTCCCACAATAAAGAATGATCTTGAATCCACCCCCGCACATTCTCTGTTCCTTGTGCATTTCTGACTGATTTGTGATCGCACTTATTATGCAATCAGTTAATATATAATAATAATACTCAGCTGATAGTTGAGTAACGTACTTTAGTAACGCGATCTGTGCGACGCAAGTTGCAATACCAATTAGGTCGTGTAATGTGAAATTTTTTTGTGTCTGCTATCACATGGATGTAAAAACATTTCTTGCTTTTGCAACTTAAGAAAAAGATTAGATGAAATCCTTCCTTACAAGGGATGAATTGAGTTTTTAAATCAATGCAACATAATTTTTAAAAAAGTGCACCAAATAGTTGACAGAATACAGTTTTAATTAATTTTTACTTTACACGGCAAACGGACACATGCCTGGAATTGATTGAAGTCAATAAGAGCCTTAAACGGCCTCTTGTTGTTTACACGGCGTTAATCGTTCAATTGATGTAAAACAAATTTGTATACACAAGTGGCCGTGCACGCACTCGCTTGCGCTGTTGCTCAGGCAAATTAATCTCTCACTTTTTATTCCGTTTTATTGTATAATGCAATCATATAAAGTATAAAAAAAAAAAGAGAAAAAAAAAAAAAAATAACATACACTTTGTGTATAACTTGCTCGCACACAGAATATGTAATCAATGAGCAAACGAACACATACTACCTGGATGAGCCGCACTTGCAAAGGACACAACAGGCAATCAAAGCCAACTGAATGGTGAAAGGAATGATTGATATGACTGTTCTCGTAACTCTAAGCGCAAGGAAAAGTCTATATATAGCCGTGAACACACACACAGTCCAAATATCAAAAATTTAAATCCTAACCACATTTTTTCGAATTTTTAATTTCTAACTCCAGTCCAGTAGTCCACTATATTTAATTGTGTTTTTGTTTATGCTGATTCTAAGCGTAAAGCACTTTCATAGCATTTCATGGACTTTTTTTTTTGTATGTCGTTTAAAATGAAAGTACATTGAATGAAGTATTAGTATTAACATGTGCGTCGTTGTGTGCTTGCACAGCCCATAAACGCCATAAATAATTAAAAATAAATTTCACTACAAATCTCGCCGCTATAGTGACATGGAATAACACTATGCACTTTTCTCTTATTACAAATGGATCCGAAAAAAAAATGTTTAAACGAAACAATCAAGAACAGTATAGTCGGGCAACGCCGCCAGCACTTCACCTCTCTAAAAGCATACTCTTTTTGGGAGCATCGTATATCGCAGAGCGTAATCTAAAGCGTAAACTGACGAGATTTAAATTTTCTTCTTCCCAAAAGTTTCTTCACTAACTTTCTTTCATCATTTTCAGTAGAAAGCATTACAAGTCTGTCTTTACTGATATGCAAATATGCGCTTTTAATGGATACCCTAACAGGGGATGAAGCCTGATAGAAAGAACTGCGTAGCTCAAATACAGTTTAGATAATTTCTATATGAAATTATTGTTATGGACTGACAGTAGAAATGGTTGCACAAAAGGTGGTTCAAAGCGGCGGCCCATTCAATTCAAATTTTCATTTTGTATGTCAATGGAGATGCAATCACCTACCGATTTTAAAATTTTCGATGTGATCCAAAACTATTGGAACCCAAACTACAGTTCATTCCCAATCACCTCCGCCCATCGTGAAATTGTAATTGCAAAAGTGCCAAATTTCGTAAGAACATCTTAAAAAGTTGCGTTCAGTTGTTTAAACACAAATATACATACACGGACATCAGAAGGACAGACGGACAGACAAGCTTAAATCGATTAGCCAAATGATTCAATGATCGATGGGTGTAGCCAAAGCACGGTCTTTATTATAAGTCCATCTGGATGTTCCACATATTCGCACAAACTTATTATACTCTACACTACATGTGATACTGGGGTATAACTAGCTACCAATAGCCTGTGCTTTGCGTTACATGTTACAATTCATTCGCTTTACAGTGTGTATTACGGTAATGAAATCATCCCTGCTTGACCGGATTTATGTTCTTCAACGAAACTCAATATAAAGCAAGCAAAAGATTTCATTTTCGTTCTTTTACGGAAATCTTGAATAATTTATTGATAAAAAAACAGAAGAAGAAAGTCTTAAGAAAATTTATGGCTTCGTTGACCTTTCAGTCTTAAATCACAAACTGTGTGTCATATCTCACATAATTTTTCTTTCCTTTTTATGTTCTTTTCTTCTTTCCATTACTTTAATGAAAATTTTTATAATTTTCTCTTTCTCACTTTAGCACACCCAAAGGACTCGAAGACGTGTCATCGTATCCCACCTTATTCGCTGAGTTATTGGGCGCGGGTTGGTCTATCGAAGATCTTACGAAATTGGCCGGAGGAAATTTCTTACGCGTTCTGCAACAAGTAGAGAAAATACGTGATGAAAAACGCGCTGCCAATGTAAAACCATATGAAGATCATCCGAATTTTCGTGCCGAAGATCCTTATAATTGTACTTCCAGCTAATTGCATACGAGAATGAAAGGACTTTCATAAAAGGTTGTACACTAATTTGCTTTAGCGTTTAAATTCAAATTCAAGGCTAACCACAGTTTTGTACGCCTTTTAGTTTAAAATGATTTCTATGGAAGTAACAACTATTAGATATAAGTTTCACAAATATTTTAAGAATTTTTTTTTACGCAATACGAAATGCGGAATGATTCCCTGCTTGACATTCTCGACTGATCTCTATAATCACGTTATCAAGGGATTATTATATTACTACTCTGTTTGCTAATTCCGTGATTCCTTAATTCACAGCCAGACCAAGGAATTCAAATCTACATCAAAATTGTTCAGTCATAGTGAGACCTAGAAGTCCGTTTTGTTATAAGAATTTCATCAAATTATTGCATCACCAAATCGTTGATCCATCAGTTAGCTGCTCGATCTACAATGTGACACGTAGCCGCCGGTCTCTTTTGTTGCGATGTCCGCGAGTTCAACTCGTAAAGCACTTATTCGCACCGATCTCAACTTTCACGGCAAGGAGATCTCCATTCTTATTTCCAAAGAAATAAACTGGCGATGAGACTACGGACTCAAAAACGACGCAAAAGGGCTGCCTTTGCGGGATGTAAAGTTTTCTAGTAAATCATTTCTCTAGATTCAACGCACTGGGCTGTTAACATAGAAAAAATTTTCGAACGATTATTTCCGAACGATGATATTAAGACTTTTTTTCAATGTGTTAGGTATTGTCATGTCGCTGTTATGGGAAAACCTTCTAATAGAATTATTGATAGTGGTTATATATCGAAGACCACGCAAAGGTCCCCGATCAATGAGAAGAACACCGAATATCGTCAGGAGTAGCTCAAGCGTCCGCCAAATAAATCTTCTGTTCTATCCTTTTATCAAAGCTATCGGCCCTTATATTCCTTATTATCTGTGTCCACAATCGCAAAATTTTATACTTCTCTTTTAAACTTTCTGGAACGTAAATATTTTATATGTAAGGGAATTATTCCTACTTTCCGAGAATGCCTTCTTTCCTTTCTTCATTTTCAAAAAATTCATCTACACACAAATACAAATTTTTTTAATAAGTTTAAAATTTAATTCTTCCTTTTACCGTCCCTTTAACACATGCACACACCTCACAGTTACATGCAGTTTGTTTTTGTTTTAAAACAAACACAATAACAACAACAGAATATTTCGACACTCTGTAAAACAGGACCAAGCCAATAACTTTTATAAGAACTTTAATTTTTTATTTATTTAAAAATTGAAAATAAATAAAAAAAAATGTAAACTAACACACGAAAAGGTTTACATACGAAGCTCATTCCATTTTAAGAGAAAAATAATGGTAAAATATAAAATAAAATAATAACAATAATATAAATAATTATAATTATATATATGTATGTAATAATAATGTAATTATAATTGCAATAATAATAAAATCTAATAATAATAGCAACAAAATAATATAATATATGTATGTATATGTATATATAATATAATATGCAGCCGTAAGGATAATAATAACAATAAAGTGAATAATAATAATAATAATAATAATAATAATAATAGTAATAATAAAATATAACAAGGATAATAACAACAGCAGTTATACTGCAATAATAATAATAATAGTGAAGTGAAATGTTAGTAATTATAATTATAATAATAGTAACAAGAAAAATAATAATAATAATAATAATATGCAATAATAATAGTAACAATAATTATGAAAATGCTCATAACAGTAAAGTGAATAATAATAATAATAATAATAATAATAACTGCAATGCAATTATAATAATAATAATGATAATAATAATAATAGCAACAGCATTTATAATGGAATAATAATAATGATAGTAGTCAAGCGAAATATTAATAATTATAATATTAATAAAATGTAATAATAATTATAATAATAATAATAATAATAATAATAATAATATTAGGATAATAAAGACATATCAGATTTTAAGTAAAAAATAATAACATTAAAAAGAAAATAAAAGGAAACTATTTTTAAAATTTCAAATAACAAAAACTGAGGGAAAATATTACACTTAAACTATATGAGATATGTTAATACTTTAAACAAAAACAAAAAAAAAAAAACAAAAAAAACAAACCTCTGTAAAATGTAATTAAGAACAATTAGAGAGATTAAAGAATTTATAAATATAAAGAGTGACAAACATATTTACATATTAAGGTAAATTGGGAAAATTTGTAAAATTTTTCAAAAATTTCGCTCAAAAACTCGACGTAAGGCATATAAAGGACACTAAATTAATCATTAAGAAGAATGCAGTGTACTCGCGGACGTATAAATGGAGAAGACTAAATTATATGTATACCCTGAAGCACATAACCATGTAAACATATACATACACACACACACACATATTTGTATATATTAGATGAATGCAACGCACCGTTATGTATACATTATTATATCTATATACATATGTATGTACAAATGCTCGATCATAAAGGAAAGGTCTTGATTTGAAAGAAAATGAGTTAAAAATCCCTAATTAACTTTTATATAGATATTAAATGTAGTTTCACATACATTTATACATGTCATATGTTAGTAAAATAATGCTAAACATATTTCACATAAACATAAACTACAACAAATACTGTCAGTCTCTCTGTACCTTCATGAAAATCCTTAAAAGAAAACCAAAAAAAAAAAAAAAAAAAAAAGTCTTTATGAAAACTTTAATTTAATAATAAAAATAAAAAATTGACGAAAAGCAAACAAAACGTAATATTTATTAAAGTAAAGAGTGTGCAAAAGTTTTAGTATAATTTTACACCACACATCACACATTCTAGTTAAAAAATTTATATATAAACTGCGTACTTGCATCTCTTTCACTGCACTCATCTTCCTACATATACATAACGCATATACATATAATGCATATGCACACAAATTCACGTACATCAATGTGTAAAGGACTTAGAACTTAAGTGAAAAAAAAAAGTTTTAAGTAAATTATTGTTGACTTTTTTTAAAACACAGTTTTATAAATAACTGAAATTTGTTAATAATCATCTATAGTAACAAAGTTTAAAAAAAAAAAAAAAAAAAAAAAAAAAAAAAAAAACAAACCTAAATAAATAAATGAAATAATTTTTCGAATTTTTCTTTCACATTTTAAGTTTTATGATTAATTAATTAATACATTTCTAATCCGTTGCAAAAAAGCCTCAATGTAAAGTACATTGATTACCTTCATATGTTTTTCATTAGCAGAATGATAGTCAGATCACTCATTTATTTATCTCGTCCCAGCAGAGATAGATGAGCACATTTTCGACTATATAAAGGTATATAGTTGAGAACTATTGCGCATCTTTCTACTAACTTTCTTCTTTTATCTTTTGCTCTTATAGTATCGTCCCTTCCACACGGCCAACCACGTTGGATGCGAATAATTTTGAAACAAAAAACGACGCACAGTCCAATTACGTTTTGGAGGCTTTTTGATATAGTTATGCTCAACATCACTTACATAGTGCAGGGTGTATTCAGTTAAGTGACGTATGTAACACACAAAAGAACTTACGATTGATCACTCACCGATCAATACGGAAGAGTTTTCTGAATCGATCTTGGCTTTCCTGCTTGTCTGAGGTTTGGCTCCCATTGTTCTTATCGTAACTTTTAAGAGGTTTTAATGAAATATAGTTCACTGACATGTTTTCGACCAAAAGACAAACTCTATTGGAATGGATTGGATCGGACAACGTATAACGTCCTATTTGAAAAGCCTAAAAGATTTAAGCTTATCTGTCCGCCTGTCCATCAGCCTATGTATCATTCTATGTTGTTTTCCCGTTTCCTGTTTGATGAAAATTGATACACTGCTGTGTTTTGGCCCAAGGACGAACGCTGTAGAAAATGATCCGGATTGTACCATTTTCTCAATCACTTCCCTTATAACGTCTTATTTGAAATGCCTACAAATCTAAGCTTGTCTGTAAGTTTGTCCGTGGGTTAATCTGTTCGTTTTCAATTTACAGCTGGCAGCTTTTAAAATATTTTTATGAACTTGATTCCACAGATGTGTTTTGTCCCGACGCCTACTGATTCGGCGTCGACTACTTTCCATATAACGTCTTATTTTGCGTGGTCCCCTATAGCGTTTTTACTGGTTTTTACCGGATTATTCTCATTAAAAACTTTTATATACATAATTTTTTTTGCTTTCTTTCGTTTTTTAATAATTTTTTTTGTTTTTCTTTATTTTAGATAAGCAAATAAGTAAACAATTCTGAACTCAAATAAGATATAAAAAACAAATGAAAAACTACATATAAAAAAAAAAAATACAAATATTTAGCAAAAGTATAAGCGAAAGTGAAATTTTTCTAATCTGTAAAAACTTTCATATAAATAAATGCAAAAAGGGTATAAAAGATAAGTTTACGGTAAAGCGAATTAACCGTTAGAACTAAATATGATATCTTTGCACATTCTCATGCGTAAATATGATCTCGCCGGCCCGTACACACACACACACACACACATAGGCATTATAAATAATTTATCGACAATTTCGTGTAAAAGAAGTTTTTCTTTTTATATATATATGCCGGACAACCAGATCTCATCTTTGTAAAGTTCACACATTGCAGCGAGCTTTTCCAGAAATGCATTTTATTTCAATTTTATTTGATCACAAAATTGAAAAGGAAATATATTAAAAACAAAAAAATAACCGCAATAAATCCAAAATCATTTTTCTAATTATTTTTTAAACGATAACATAAATTAATAATAATAAAAACAATTTGCATATAACAAATGAAAATGAAAAGAAAATTATTATCAGTAAAATGATGTAATTATTATATAAAAATTGAAAACAAAAAAAGCCAAAACAAAAATATTTAGTGAAAAATAAATATTTATGAAATTTTACGAAATGCAATAAAAAAAAATAATTCAATTGTAAAATATGTTTTCTAATTGTTTTTATTCACTAATTAGAGGGAAGAAACTTCAGGGACAACTTACAGGAATTATGAGAAAAGATGCACACCAGATCCATGTAGCCAGGTTCATGCGGAGCTTCACATCATCGAAGAAAATTATAATCAGCTATGATCGATTTTTTTGTAGCCTCCTTACCTAGAAAACATGAAATTTTGATATTCGATAGGAATGGGTAGGCACGTGCCGGCCGATATCTTTTATTTGTCATTTGTACTAAAAAGGCAGGTGTTCCACGTTTATACCGTATTATAAGCGTGCCTCTTGACCAATTTCGACCGCTTTTAATATCAAGTTGCCCGTAAATTTGAATTTTATTCCTACGGCCGAGAGACTGTTTGCCATGCAAGTCCACAAAGACTGATGGACCGCAAGTACAGATGAATTCAATACGTCGTAGTAATCATAAATATTGATGATACTTTTGAAGCTTCTTACTTCTGGAATGGTGTAAACGAATACGCAAAGCTGCGGTGCTGAGATCCACACTACCTTTAGATAAACTTAGCGCCATATAATCAATGAATTCACTTACCATACACCAGCGAATAGAGTGAAGAGCAATAACTTTTCAGTCGTTACCTTTGCTACCGATGTCAGTATTTTTGGCCAAGTTCGTAATAAAAGTGCACACTTTTTACCAAGTAACGGTAAATATTTGCTAAATTGATTTTTATTCACAATTTCAACTTGAGCTTATATATAATATATGTTGCACTTGTAGGCTAAATTTTCACAGAGCGCAAGTTTTAATTTTCTTTTTTATTGTCTTTGTTTTATAGATATATAATTTGGATTTTATTATATATTACTTATTTTGCATGGTTCTTTAGGAAAATATATCGAATTTTTTCATCTTATACGATTTTTTAAAGTCTAACCATATGTAAAGATTAACCATATGTCTTACGCATTTTTAAACGACTTTTTGTTGCGCAGCCTTTTTACAGTGTTTTAAGCGTTTATACAAACATGAGCCAATAGTTTGTGCCGTTGATAGATTTGTAAATAGGGCGCGAAATATAATTATTTTTCTTCTGTCTTTCATCGAATCATTTTTTATCGAATTTTCGTAGCAATGTTTTGAGATAGAGATAAACAGATTGAGGGGCGTAAGTCCTATACGATTCAGTGCGAGACAAGATATCGAATTATTGTTCATAATAATTCATTGAAAAATTGGATCGTGAATGTCATAGAAATCACTGCATACATCCGATTATATTATGGTTATGCTTGCAAAGTATTTCTAGTCACATTTCGAATTGATTCTCGATCTTTGAATATCACAGAAATTTGTGCTGTCCGTCAATGCGTGAAGAATTTTATGAAATCTTAATGGCGCAGGAGTGCGCTTAAAGGATTAGTTAATAGGGATTGCAAGATTTTGGCTAAACCGAAATTTAAATTTCAAACTATTTCGAGTGGTCGCTGTGGTTTCTACTACAAATGTTTACGTTTAACAATTTAGTATCAATTCACATTGATATTGCCTAAGTGTTCCTCTGATATTTGAATGGCAAATTTTATTCGAGAATGTATGTACAATAGTACAATACAGCTTTCATACAATCCCACAAGTTTTATGTTAATGAAATTTAGCAAAGTTTTAAATCAATTTTTATGTTATGTTATAGCATTTAGATAAATTTAAGAAAAAGTAAGCAAAGCCGTGTTGCATGTGTATAAGTAACGTCAGTAATTATATATAAAAATCGAAAATCGAATCAGCTTAGTTCGAAGTTCTAAGCGAAGTGGTGTAGGGTATTTAATAACAGGTCAGCGTTTTTACTTTTTTCTTTTTTTTTTTTGCTTTCTTTGAAGTGATTAAAGCTCAGAGGACGGGTCTAAAACATCTAGATTGAAACCCGACGCAAGTACAATACTAATAAGTAAAAAAGTTATATTCGTCGGGGGCCGAAATTCGCATACCCACCACTATGCTTTTCGCATTCTAATCTCCAAGTTCTTTTATTTGATTTCCATATCGCGGGTATTATGACGAAACCCTTAATCGCGATGTCTATCACGTTCATTATAGAATTAATCCAATTTTTATCAGATAATATATCTGACGAATATGCAAAATATCTTTTGCCGAGCTTAACAAGACCCGTTAAGTTTAAATAGAAACCATCACTAAACAGGTTTTGCTAATATATTCATACATTTGTAGAAAATATCTTACTTACATATTTCAAATATATCCAGATACAGATCTTTTTTATGCCATTAGGAATTTTTTTATGCCAATGTAATGACTTGCACGGGAATCAGTTGTCGACTTTTGCTAACCAAGTCAATAAGAAAAATAAAATATCAGTTTACGCCATGATTGAATAAATGAGAATGTCACTTGGAGTCTCAAATAAGATGTTAGAACGTTTTCTTCATCTTTCCTTCTATTTTATTTAATCACCCACGCACCTTAATGTTGCTCAAAACGTCGTTCATTAATTTAACACGTTCATCTGTAGATTGCATTTAACGAATTTGATAAGCTTTGATACGACCCTCAGCCAATACGGCAAGACTGAGTAGTTCCCAAACAAAATATAAAGTCAAAGTCAATCTGTCACGGAGCTGACCATAGCATATTTAAATAAGTAGTGAAATCCCTAAAACATTATGCATCAACTGCCATTAAATTAACGGTTTCTTTAACGATAGACTCTTTACTTGCCGTATTCGATACAATCGAAGCTTTACGATAAGTGGCGTTAATTAAAGTTATTCGTTTTCCCGGACACACAGTGAACATACGTTGGAAATGTTGGCCCAAATTAAAGGTTTGTGCAGTTGCTATCACTAAAAGCAGTACAGCATATAAGGTACGCTTCCACTTAGGCTGACTTTCAGTTTCTCCATTTGCATTATCCTCTGCGAAGTCAATAATCGAATGCAAAATTTGCGCTTGCATGAAAGTTTAAATATCTCTAAATAATTTCATCATGGAACCAAATGAGCGAATTATAGGTGGCATTGTAGAAGCCATATGCGTTCAAAAAGCAAAAGGAAAATAATTCTGTATGCTATAAAAATTATCAATGAAACCATCAAAATTGATCGCCTTACGTTTACCAATTTTGCGACTGACCGACATAAAAAGTCCACGCATGTAGTTTAAAGTCGAGAGATCTCTATTTTGCTATAATCCTTACAAATTGAATACACTCAAAACTGTTTTTGCGCGACCTTTTTTGGTGCGTAAAAATGCATACGTCTCCTTTTCTGCCGAAATTATTACATATAATATGTGCAAGTATTTGTTCCGGTATTTATTTTTTAATTTATATAAAACTAAAGTAATTAATTGTGAACTTACAATTTACCGAAGTTTTTCCAAACCCTTGTTGTTACTTTATTGAATCGGGCTCTCTACTTTTTGAATTTGCTGAGAAATAAATTCATTTAAATAGTCTTCAATGAAATTGACTTTGTTGACTTTGCTGTACATTCCTTATGCAGGGACTAAAATAAAACTGAGCGTAAAATTGACTTTGCTGACTTTGCTGTACATTCCTTATGCAGAGACTAAAATAAAACTGAGCGTAAAATTGACTTTGCTGACTTTGCTGTACATTCCTTATGCAGGGACTACAATAAAACTGAGCGTAAAATTGACTTTGCTGACTTTGCTGTATATTCCTTATGTAGGGGCTAAAATAAAGCTGAGCATAAAATTGACTTTGCTGGCTTTGCTGTACATTTCTAATGCGGAGGCTAAAATAAACACTGAGGGAGCTGAGAGAATTGTTATATTTCTTGTAAAAAATGTTTTTAAATTATTCATTTTGCTACTGGCAACATTTTCAATTCAATTATATGGCAGCACCTGTAATTGTGGAATTAATCTTCGCGTTTGTGGAATGAATGGATAAAACAATTTAGTTTAAAAAAATAAGGGAATGTGTAACAAAGTATGGACCGTTAATCCTTATTAAATTGATTCGAAAACAAGATTTCATCATCAAATTGAAAGAAAAAATCTACAACATGCCCGTATTTCAACTTCTAACAAATTACTTCTTCAAAATTAAAAATACGGTACGAGAATTTCTAATAACAACTTTCTGAAATTGTGCACCAACTTTGGTTCAATTATTGGTATATCGTGAAGTTAATTGTTACGAAATTCTTTTCGATCGAAATTGGTGCACTTAAAGCGCTATTTTATAACATTGTCTTGTTTTTAATAAAAATTTCTGTTGAAAATAAAAAATCGAAAAACGTAAGGCTTGGCAATTCTGCTAGGAAACAGCTGATGCTATTGATGTTATTTACTTATTCGTGAAAATTACTGAAAAAGTTTTATTTGTAACTTTAACGCAAAAACTATTACTTATTTTGAAAATAAGCTGAAATGCCGCAAGCTAGACGAAAAGTACCGTTTAGTGGTAAAAAGAAGAAAGATCAACTATTCCAGAAAAGGCAACTGAAAGGTAAACTAATCGAAAAAGTTGCAGAAATATAAAAGAATTTATGAGTTACGTTGAATATGTTGACATATTGCAGGAAACCAAAAATATTTAAGAGTTCAGAATGACGTAGACGACGATGGTGAAACGACCGAGGACACGGAACTGTCAGTGCGTAAATTAATGTTAAAACCGACAACAAATAGTCAATATTCCGCGCGCAATAAAAATGCTAATCGTTATAACTTATGCTTTTATCAAGAATCCAAGCGGGAATTAGAACGGTTGAAGCTGGAAGGGTTAAAAACTTATCAATCCGCACAACCAAAGCAAAGAGAAATGGATGCTGCATTTTTTGAAGGTTACGATTTCCCAATACGCCCGGGATGGAGTTATCAAATCAGTAAAAGCATTTTGGATCGAAATGAGAACAAGTATTTTAGAGTGCGTAAAATTAATCGTATCTGAATACTTGCTTTAAACCTTCGAAATTTTAGGAATACATCAGTAAAACGCAAGAGAAGCAAAAAACGGAAAACAAAGATTTGTCTTTGTTTGAATTGAACTTGGAAACTTGGCGCCAACTTTGGCGCGTATTGGAGTTGTCGGATATTTTATTAATCATCGTCGATGTGAGATATTCGGCAAGTTTATCTACATGTCGATCTATGTGTATGTATATTAACTTTGTTTTTCCTTTAAGCAGGCTCTTATGTTTCCCCCGTCACTATATAACTACCTAATCAATGACGTAGGTAAAAAGGTTATTTTAGTTCTCAACAAAGTTGATTTGGTAGCCCCGGAAGTAGTGATTGCTTGGCGGCATTATTTTCAAACAACTTATAGTTCATTGCCGGTAGTGATTTTTGCTTCAAACCCTCCCCAAAACAAAAAAGGTATTAATGGTCTTCATTTTGAACTGGGCAACTAACAAAGTTTTTTCAGGGAATCAACAACGACGACGCATGAATTATAAGCGCAGTATTGAAGGGGTTTATAATATATTTAAAGAATGTGAAAAAATCGTAAAATCTGACTTGGATTTATCGGAATGGGAACAAAAAATTTTAGAAGACATGCCAATAAATGATTACGAAATTTTGGATGAAGATAACGAAATCGTTGTCGAAAAAACGGAAGAAGAATTAGAGAGTGTCGACGTTTTGGAGAAATGGGAAAAATATCGTAATAAAATATTGACACTGGGTTGTATTGGATTTCCGAACGTTGGCAAATCTTCGCTGATTAATGCTTTGAAAGGCCGCAAAGTAGTAAGTGTAAGTCGCACTCCTGGCCATACCAAGCATTTCCAAACAATTTTTTTAACTAAATCGGTTCGTCTCTGTGATTGTCCTGGTTTAGTGTTCCCATCCTCTACGTCGAAATATTTGCAAGTTTTATTGGGCAGCTTTCCTATATCTCAATTGCAAGTGCCTTATCGCTCCATTCAATTGATGGCTGAGCATTTGGATTTACCCAGATTACTAAAATTGCAGTTGCCTGAAGACTACGATGAGTGGTCACCGGTCGCTATAACAGAAGCTTGGGCATTGAAACGTGGCTTTTTAATTGCTAAAACAGGGCGGGCAGACCGTTATCGTGCCGCAAATCATTTACTACGTTGTTGTGTTGCCGGCCAACTACAATTAGTTTTGCAATTCTATCCGCCCCAATTCAGTGAACAAAGAGAAGAGTGGCTTAAACACGCGGATATAGAAGATATTAAGAAATATCAAAATTTATCATCTTCAGACATTCCGGAAAGTGAGGACGCTTCTTCAATTAATTCGGAAAGCAAGTACAGCTTATAGTAGCACTGACAGTTGTAATCATTACGGTTTCATACTTGCAGGTGCTTATGACTCAGAGAGAACTAGTAGCTCCAATGACGAAACTAGTGTGAATGATGACGACAACGACGCCGCGGAAGAGTTGGAGGACTTAGCACTTCCTTGTACATCTCGCAATGCATTTGCCGTATTGGAGAATGAAAACTAATGAAAAGTATTTTTACACCCAACTCATTATTTATTTCAGTTTTATTCAAAGTGTTTTCTCATATACATAAAAACATATCAAGAAAATTCATTATCTTCATCTATGAAGAGATATTTGTCGGAATGATCAACCATATCATCCAAAGAAAATAGTATTTTTATGGCTCTAAAATATTGAGGAATCAAACCAGAAATATAATATCGTATTGTGTCCAGCAATATGTTGGCTAAATTCAGTCATTTCATAAACGCATTTCTCTCGAAAAATGTGAATAGAGTTAATAATAAACGTTTTACATACGTCATTAAACGAGAAAGAAATTAATAAAATAACACATCCACACTTCTCTGCTGCGTCGAAGAATATTTTATATATATAATGCAAAAGAAGAAATAAATCTTACTCAAAAAATGCGTCTCTATTTTTACACCCATCAGTGTAAAATGGGGGAAAACTCATTTTGTTTTTTCCCAAAATTTATGTAACATCCAAAAGCAAGCTTCAGAAACCCTATAAAGTATATATATATACTTTGATTCTTGATCGGTGTGAAATTCTGAGTTGATTTAGCCATGTGCGTTATTTTTTACACTAAACTCATTTATTTAACTTTTTTGCTCAAAGTTTTTTCTTATTATATAAAAACTTATCAAGGGGATACATCATCTTCATCTACGGAGAGATATTTGTCGGAATGATCATCTATATCATCCAAAGAGAGTAGTATTTGTATGGCTCTAAAGCATAGAAAAATGAAAACAGGAATAGGAATATTTTCCCAAATCAACTGATTCTCAACTTACTTAATTATGTAATCGTCCTTACTATTGGGTTTTATTGGAGAAGGATGTAAAGCCTTCCTTTGTAATAGCATCTCGAGGTTTTCGCGAAGTTTTAGAATCGTACAACTAGTTCTAGGATCGCATTTGAAACTAAATGAAAAGGGATTTAAATAAATTATTGTACGCTTAACAAAACTAAACAATCAAAAAACTTACTAATACTTTTCGGCTACACTGATATAATGTTCTCCATTTGTAGTGACTCCCTCCACAACACCATCACCAAATATCAAAAGAGCCATGGGAAAAACCATTGTCGCATCCAGCATGTACAACGCTGTGGATCTTTGTTTTTGAAAGTAGACAAAGAATCTGAAAATGATTTATTAAATTTAAACCGAAAGGCGTTGATTTAATTAACGGCCGATCTATTTACTTAGAATCAAAAGATCCTTCTCCGCTGTTCACCGAGGAAGGGTGAAAATTAATACTTTTATCTTCGGGTGTTTGCATTTTATGCACCGCTTGAACACGATTGCGTATCTGTCTTACTTTGCTAAATAAACGCAAATTTTACAACAATGTTTTCGTTAATAAAAAGAAGTCTCACCTTAAAAAAGCGACATTCGGATATAAACCGGACGCAATTATGGCTCTTAACAAGGGCAAATTATTAGAATTGACATTCAAAGATTCAGCCATCACATCCGCAGATTCTGTAAAACTGTTTTTGGGTGTTAAAGTCGTTGATCTAAGATTATGTTGACATAAACCATATAATATAACAAATTTGTTGCCCTCTAAATAAGGATAAGCTAATCCAAAGTTACGATTAAAACTCAAAAGTTACTCAATTACCTCGGTGTCGCTTCTCACCCTTTATTTTCTTCAATAATATATACGTAAACAGTCTAATTAGGTTGGCTAATGCATCGCGAAGGTTCGGCCTTTGATCTAGGCTTAAATGATGAAATGATGTCATATAGCCCACATAATTACACTGCATAAAAATATTTTTGTGAAAAATAATTTGCATTAAGAACATCTGAAATGTTGTTGAAATTCAGAACTTGAAAATTTCGTTAAAACAATGTCAAGCTGCTTCCTGTACATGCTAATCAAAAATTCATATAGCCAGGCAGGCGGACATATTTCGATTTGCATCAGATCCCTGTTATATGATTTTATATGATTTTTTGTTATATTATATGATTTTTCATAAATTTATCATCATTGTGCGTTATGTTACCTCGCCAGTCTCAGATGATCGGTAAACTGTTTTTTCATATTCTCCAATTGCGTAAGAATGGAATTGCTTAAGAATTTCCGATAACAATATTCTGAAAGGCGACCACTCTCGCGAGCCTCACGAAATCCCCTTAAAGCTTTATGTGTAAGCAAATGGTCACTTCTGATTCCATCGGATAACTCGCGCTTTACGCGGTCAACGGTCTGCTCGAAACCTAAAGGGGTATAAAAGGGGCTCTTAAATGATATCCCCGCAGCAGCAGAAGTTATCGGGTCTACGCAACGGAATAAGCCCGCCATCAGAATCATTTTACCCATTTGGGGATCTATAGGCAGGCGAGCTAAATGCACTCCCAAAGGTGTCAAATCATCGTGATAATCCAAAGCTCCAATCCTGCGTGGCAAGCGAAAGTATTATTAAATAAAACCGTAATTAAAACATACAAAATACCTTTTGAGCAGATTAATCCCATTTTGTATGGCCATTGGCTCGGGTGCACTAATTAGAGACTTCAAGAAATCGTACAGATCACATACATGAAGTAGCTTCAAATTTAAAATGACTGTTTCCAGTCTGCTGCGCCTAATTTCGGGAATGGGTTCATCCAACATTTGTTGTTCACGAGCTCTAACAAAATGTGAAATGTTATTTGATTTTTCTTGCTTGGTCGTTTTTTCTCTACTAACCTCGTAAACAGATTATAACAAATGCCAGGTTGCACTCGACCGGCACGTCCCCTTCGCTGTTGAGAATTAGCCTTGCTAACCCACGTTTCTTCCAATGTTTGTGTGTTAGCTTGCAGATCATAATCGCTAGTTTTGACACGCCCCGGATTAATAACATAAACCACATCATTAATAGTTACTGACGTTTCAGCTATTATGGTCGACAATATGACTTTACGTTTACCCGCTGGAGCCGGTTCAAAAACATTTCTTTGATTTATTGTTGGCATCATAGAATGTAAGGGATATATAAGAAGTTGCGTTGCCAAATCCTGGTGATAACGCAATGAAGGCTTCTGTAGTTGTGCGCTGAGTTTGGAAATTTTATCATAACTCGGTAAAAAGACCAATATGGCTCCTTGGGGCTTATGTTCGCAGATAAAGAAGATCAAATACTCCAAAAACTGTAGATTATCGCATCCTTCAGAGTTCGGGAAACGTAGCGAACGCAACACATGGCTTTCATATTTTAGTTTTATAGTGGGTATGTAATCATCAATCATACGTAGATATTGCTCATTCTGTTCAGTTTCTCTATGTTTCTTACGATGATTATTGTTTCTATTTTTGACACAAAGTTCATTCTTAAATACATGATAACCAGTCTCTTGAAGAATATCTTCCAAATACAAAACCTCTACGGGATAAAGAGATCCTTCAATATGTACCGTGCAGCAATTATCAAAATATTGGCTAAACAACTGATCGTTGACAGTAGCACTCATAAGAATTAATTTCAGGTCGGATCGATGGGGTAAAATCTGAATTAACAAAATATTAGTTAACACTAAAGATTTAGAGAGATTTAGGGTCGTACAGTTAAGAAGAAACAAAATTTAAAAATCTATTATTAACATCTTGCTAATCCCGCAATGATTTGTCCATTAAGAGGAAAGAGAAGTATTGAGCTTGAAACGAATGTTTTATGGGAAGCGACGATACCCGATCAATTACATGGAGAGACACAGGCGCACAGATTGATAACGGACAAGCAAAGTTAAGGGGTAAAGAGTTTGGGAAACAAAGTAGTCTAATTTTTGGTCACTCAGATACAAATGACTTATATATATCGATACAAATCATAATAAAATAGCAATATATGAAACAACTTTTACAACCTTTTTTAGCAAAGCCATTATTAAGTCAGTTTCAACACTGCGTTCATGTATTTCATCCAGAATGAGAACACTGACATCATTCAATAAAGGATTGGTCTGCATTCTTTGTAACATTATTCCAGTCGTGCAATATAAGATTGACCCGTAATCTCTTGGTAAGCGACTGCAATTTATATAATACTTTTAATATTTCAACTTTCCTCAATGAAGCTCTTACTCACCTTTCTAAACGGATTTGGTAACCTACACTTTGTCCCAAAGATTCCGCCCTCTCATAAGCGACTCGTTCCGCCACTGTGATAGCTGCAATTCGTCGTGGTTGAGTGCAAAAAATGCGACATTCAGCACCTTTTTTATTCAATATGTAGTTGTCTAACAAAATTTGTGGAACTTGTGTCGTTTTGCCGCAGCCTGTACCTCCCACTATTAAAACCACTTGATTTTTCTGTACACAATCACTTATAAGTTTGTGATAGGATGTGGCTGGTAAATTTTCACTTTCTACATTACGTTTTCGGAAAGGCGGATTAGCCGCGCATTTATCTATGAAGTCTTTTTGCAAGACCTTGCTTAATCCATCTTTTGCACTTGTCTGGACGCTTCCGTTTTTATCTTTTTGTTTCGCTTCTTCAATAAACTCCTCAAAATTTACACTTAATAATCTTTTAAAACTCTCTCCAAATTCATCAAAAAGAAAGGCTTCGTCTTCTGATTGCGAGAATTTGTGTAAACAAGTTTCTACACTGCTCAATAAGTCTTTTGGCACACTTACGGACGAATTCAAATGAATGCGACCCTCACTTTCTTCCTCTTGCCTGCGTTTTCGCGATAGATTTCTATAAAACAAACCTATTTCTTTGCCCCTAAGCGATTTTGGCGGCCTTTTTCGCTCCATGTTTTTCGTTGGCTAACAATCTTTTTTAATGAAAATCGTACGGTATAATTTTGCTTGAATGTACGCTACACGAAACGAAGGATTTGTTAATAAAGGCTAAGGTTTTAGCACAAAAAAAAAGAAATTTTTTCAAGAATACACAGTGGAATGAAAAACAATCATCACAACGAAACCAGAAAAAATAACAATATCAGTATCACATGGTTGTATTAAAATTGTATTTACTAATAAGAAAAAAGTGTGTGCCATTCAGGTGTGTATATGTCTTGCAGTATTTGTTTTTTCACTTAAGTGGCCAAATTGGTACCATGCTAACATCTAATAAGTTTCATTGCTACAGCCTTTTTGAGAAAAAGACTGAAAAAAAATTTCTGAGACTGTAATGCCTCAATTTTGATAACGATTTTTCATTAATTTCAGCTAAGTAAATTAGGTAAAAAAAAAAAGGTTATTGTGTTGCAATTTATTTAAGCATAGATGTTAATCGTATCGCATATTCACGACTTTATCTCTCAAAAAAACTATTTCTTAGCAGTTGGATCAGCAAAATACCAAGGTCATATCATCGATCGTTTGATATCATTATTCTTAATAGGACACGATATATGCATTTAAAAAATGTATATATTTCCTATAAAAATTTATTTAAAACATTTAGACAGATCTTCCATTTTACCAATACGTATGTTATTCTTTATTTCTCCCAGGTCTGGAAAAGATCTAATCAACAGTATTTTAACAAATAAAAAGAGCAGGTAACACTGTTTGAAAAGTTCATAAGAAACAAAGAAAACGACAAAAAAAAGTTTACAGCTTGCGCCGATTTTGAGTTGACTGCAACATATTTCATAAAAGAAATTAATCAAAAATAATTTATTTATTAAAGTAACTTAAGTCGGTAATATCTTGGACTGTGCATAGAATAGAGAAAAAGAATAAGAAAACTTCTGTGAAATAAAATTAAAAGCAATATCAACAAGTGGTAAATGGTGCCCCATTTTTAGTGGACTTTGTCAAAAAAAAAAAAGGAGAAAAAAAAAGAAAAGTTGGAAAATAGAAGAGGTGCTCGCGCAGCTTGATATACGGTAACAAAGTATGTGTTGAAGTGTACGTTCATAAGTGTTCATGGGAATGTTTTTTCTTTTTTTTTTTATTAATTTTGTGAATTTTTCTGTTCTCTCTTCGACTTGCTGAGGGAGACGTATCTGCAACGATCGATTTGACTTTGCTGAGAATAAAATTCTTTTTCTGAGAGCAAAACTTACTATCCTGTATATTTTTTATATCGTTAACATTAGCAGTTCAGTTAGCGGATTTTCTTTTAGAAACAAATTAGATTTAAAGAAAAATAAAACGACGTTTCGGTCTCTTAACGAGTGCCGCGTTGGTTTTGTGCCTATTTTTTTATGTGACGTAAACCTTAAACAATTTTTTACTGATAATAAATGAAAAAGGTAAAAGCAAAAAAAGCCGGTATAACTAAAAGTGTTTTGATTTCGTTCTAGTGAAAAAGAAACTAGACAGGGCGTGGGCCCTTAAAAAGCACTTGGCTGATTATGATTTTTTAATGATTGATATACACACATTACGATCCTCAATGCAAAATGCATGCATTTTTGCACAAAATCGACAGCATCGCATATAAAAATCATCAATCTTCAACATACAAAGCTCCATAATTAATATGCAGTTTGCTCTGTCGATAACAGTGACGGTAGACATTCCTATATCTATTCTATCCAACACATTTTATTTACTTTTTTTTTTTCATTCGAATTATTTATGCATTTATTCTGTTAATTGTCTTCAGTGCTGTTGAGAAATGTAAACAAAGAGTTCTCGTCCACGATCATTGAGAAACACTAGCCAAGGTAGCTATAGCTATTATACAGCTAGTTAGTGCGTAATCTATTGCTTGTAAATATAACGACAGAAAATGTATTCTGTTTTTTTTATTTTAGAAAATATATTAAAATATTTACAGGATTTACTGAATAGTATGCAATTTCTTCGCAATCGTGTGTGCGTTCAAACAAACTTTGTGTATAAAAACCTGTTATACCAAGATTTGGTCAAGATTTGTTTTTTTTTTTTTAGTAAGTGTTTGAAATAACAACCACATATTTCATTTTGCTGATTTCATAGTTGTGTCATATTGGTTTTGTTGTTGTCGCTTTACTTTGGTTGTGAATCATTTTATTATTTAAAATAATTTCCATTGCATTTTGCAAATTTAAATAAAAATGTTAACCCCTTTTCCCACTTGTTTCACATAATGTCGTCAATGAACATCTTTTTAAATGGTTTTTATACGACTTTTTAAGGTGATCTGCTTATATTTAATGCATATTTTTGATTTCTGATTGTCAATGCATGACTTATTTGATCTCAAAGAGTTTAAACATTTCCAATCAGGACTTTTCCCACACAAGTATATCCTTGATGAAACCAATACGCAGACCTAAGGAAGGATTTAAAAATGGATGAAATATTTTACTTTCAAGATTATTTAAAAAATGTCTGGTACGTACGTACTACTTTGCTGGTTATATTAGCAAAATTTGCCACCAATGTGTTAATTTGTCGTATATATGCGCATAGATATGTATGCATATATATATATATATATATATGTATATATAGACAGGCATGTGCACGTAAATAACGTACAGTTTACGATAGGAATAAAAATGCAAAAAATATTTTAAAATAAAAAATTTAAAAATATTTGTGAATTTGAAGCAAATCTTGAATTTGACTATATATATATGTAATATATACAGATGCGTTTGCAATAAATTGCGTTCGTTAATTGAAACGAAGCGCTGAAAAATCGAAAAAAAAAAAGGAAGAATTTAATCAAATTGTCAACATATCTGTTGTTTTCATCATTTTATCAATTATTTTATTATTAAGCAGCAGTAATGACCACAAGGTCAACTTACCAAAATTATCTAACACAAGATTTACGATCTTCTTATTTTTATACCCATCATCGAAGCGTGAGGAGTATGTTTATTTTGTTCAAACGTTTGCAACGTTTGCCCAGAAGGCAGCTTCAGATACCCCACAACGTAAACATATTCTTGATTAGTATAAAATTCTGAATCAATTTAATCATGTCCGTCTGTGTAATGCCCCCTAGTCGCAAAAATGTAGCTATTGCCTTTGAATCTGTCAGAAACAGTGGAATTTTTTTGCATGAAGGCTGATATTGAAGATGGGGCAAATTGATCGAAGGACACGCCTACTGCACCACGTAAACTGAGAACACCTCTGTTTTTCAAAAGGAATAAAAAATCGAGTTTTCTCTCATTACTCAAAACTACAGCAAACAAATCGACAACAATTTAAACGTATATTCTTGGGCAACGCTGCAGAGTCTGTACTAAAAAAACAAAAATGGTCCACGCCTGCCCAAAATTCTAGTACATCGAAATTTAATTTTTTTTTTTTTTCAAAACCTCTGTAACGCGCAGAATCAACCGTTAATAACCCAATAAAGTATATAAATTTTTGGCCGCTTTCAAATTCAGAATGCATCTGTCCATCCGTCCGTCTAGAATGTGTGTGTGTGTGTGTGTGTGTGGTATTCGAAGTAAACATTCTGCCGTTCGCAAAAATAAAGACATCCCCCCGCCCCCTACCCCACCCCCTCCCCCCACAATTTTGCAAAAGAATTTAAGAATGACACAAGTTAGTCAATAGCGTACGCCTGCAATACCATAGGCCTATGCAGCAACCTTCACTTTTCGCGTTTGTTTCTTTTTACAAGTAAAGTATGAGAGAATGTACAATATAGCCTTTTTTAAGATAATAGTAATGGATATGAAAGAGTCGGCCAGGACCGAATATAATTTCTTACTTGTTTTTTTTTTTTTTTTTTTTTTTCTTTTAATATATTTCTGATGTCATTGTTTCTGCATGTCTTGTCTGGATTGCTGAAGCAGCGATAGATATTGTTCTACGAAATCTTTCGAGAGATGAGGTGTTGCGAATTGCACCTCCTCTACCTATGCTTATTAAAATTAGTTATGTTCAAATCAGATATTTTCGATAAACTTTAGATTCTTTCTTCAACAAGTTACATTTTAGTCTCGTCTTTCATGTTTTACGCTTATCAGACTATTATGCAACATGCAAAAGTTCTCTTTTTAACAACTTTTCTCTTTTCGATAAAAGAGTGAAAACATTTATATTGAATGCGATGATGATAAGTAAAATTCCTAAAGTGGATGAAGTTGAATGGCAAACGGGAAGTAGTCGAAACTTAAATTATGTAATAACGTTGCGAAGGTGAATTCTTATGAGAAGTAAATGTATAATTTATTTTTATTATTATTATTATAATTTTAGACTAAAGAGATAAATTCTTAGACTAAAAAAAAAAAGCCATTGAGCACTAGCAACACAGGCTATCGTCTCAAAGTATAATTTAGAAATCTCTTCTTACTTATGAACTATCCAATGATTTAAGGTAAATAGCAACCAAAATTCAAGTCGAAGCCTATTCACGTTTGATATCATATGTTATGTACGGTGTTCGCTTTCATATTTATCATGTTCATTAGCATATACGCGTTCAGTAGCATGTGTCCGCACTTTTTCAATATTTTATTGCAAATTACTACGGTTTGATTACAATAAACGTATACAAATTCGATACGAACGCATATAGATACAATTACAAATACAAATACCATGTTAAGTAAAATTTTAATATGTTAAGTAATGGACATGAATGCGCATGCTTTTCGTATGAAAGAAAAAGAAGAATTATAACTGATAATAAATAATAATGAAATGAAAGGAGCAACAGACCAGAGCGTAGGAGAAAATGAAAAAAAAAAAAAAAAAAAAAATTCGAAAAAAACAAAAACAAAACAGAAAAAAACACAAGCAAGTCCAAAAACAATATTCTCCATGCAATTCAATAACTAAGCAGTAAACAGTTAGTATAATAGTATAAATTATTCTAGAGTGCACATGAATGAACAAACAATCAAACGCACACATATCGCGCACACAGAGAGTGCCAGATGCCAAGTTAACCAAAACAAAAACGGAAACAAAATGTAAACAAAGCGCAAAAATAATGTAAAAGTAAAGCAAAAAAAAAAAAAAAGTTGCAAAAATGAATCTAAACAAAGTGTTATAGCGAAATCGCTGGCGTTCGGCGTGTTGATACATCCTGGCGGCTTATAGCATAGCATTTCCACCCTAACTTTAATTTAAAAAGAAAAAACCAAAGATTTGCACAGAGGACACGTCATACGCGTGTTTTTTCTTTGCTACGTTCTTAGTTGCTCTTAAAGTGTTCACCGCAAATACTTGCGGATTTTTGGATTTTTTTTTTTTTTTTTTTGCAAATACAATCAGCGCGAGTGTTCGCGGTCCAAACTAATGAAAATTATGCATATCTTTGCTTTTAGAATGTCTAAGCATGAGAAACACAAAACGGGTGGTCTACTTGAAAATTGGTTTGGCCGACCCAAAAGTGCTAGAGGTGGCAGTTATAATAGCGGCGGTACTCTCTCAGGGCGACCCAACTCGACAGACACCGATGCCATCGACTTGCAAGAGTTGGAAAAAAATATTTGTGCCCTCAGCGATTCAGATGTCGACGTCAAATTCATGGAAATCCTGGAAGATATGAATATTCCTAAAGATAAACGTGCTCCTCTTTTATCGAAATCCATAACAGAGAGACAAAAAATGATTTTCATGCATTTGAAAGGTGAGTTCATAAATACATTTATAATATTCTATGCTACTGATAAGATAAACTTACGCTACTCACTAATACATACGTAGATGTATGCAAGATAACGATGTTTTTTATTTATTCCAAACCACTACTACTACTATTACTACTACTAGTGTCTGCGATTTAAAGTTTTGCGGTAGACAAAAAAAATAAAAATAAAATCGTAACTATTTAATGTGTTTTTTATATATTGTAATCCAATGTATCTGATTGTCCATTAGCGTTTTACCACAATTGACATTTTATCAAGAGAACATCGTAAAAAATGGTAAAGGTTTACTTAATCATGGAGGCTCTTGGGGATTCAAAAAATCTCTATTGTTACCAAAGGAATGGAATTGACCTAAGCCTGCTTGTCTCCGTATTTTGTATCAAGGTTTTGAAAAGTATTAATGAATTTTGATATATGGCCATGTTTTGGCTTCATAGACGAACACTTCTTAAATTGGCGAGGGTTGGAGAATTTCTGGGATCCTTCTCCATACAATGTTCAGCTTCCTCTTACTTACATTTAATATAAAAATTGAAAATTTCATAAAGATTTTTCCGGAAGCTACGATTATATAATCATTTTTAATGGTTTTTCATCAATAATGGGAGACGAACACAGAATAGATAGGTAAACACCCGTTGGTTTATGGCGGCCACTGGCGAAATTTTAACGAAATTTCATCGACCGTTCTCTTAGTTTATCTGGCAACAAAGGAATTCGAGCAGGTTCGCTTTATTTTCGAACAATGTATAGTCACTCCCAGCCAAACTCGGACACTAAAGTAAGGAAATCTTATTGGAAAATCTACCGAAAGTGAAATAATATAAGAATGCTTGTATGTGTGCACCGTTGTCATTGTGTATTTATTAAGCTATCATAAATGGGGTATAAAATTTGAATTCATTGCTTTTCAATTAAAACAGACTAAAAAAACTGCCACTAGTGAAAAATTGATGCACAAGCCAATTCCAATTTATTAAGGCAAACAACGTCATGGTTGATGACCATAGTTTAAAGTGCGATAAAATACTTTTAGGTTTCATCGAAACCGTTGGCTGAGCGTGAAAACTAAAAGTGGCAATAAATTCAAAAAATAATATTTCTAACAATCGAACATGTTGGAATGGACCTAGAATCTCAAGGCAATCAATTTTGTTTCTATGCTATACTTTTATAACCTTTAAAACGTTAGTCCAGTCGTTTTTCATTAACAATGAACTTTGTTTGGCCTTTAAAAGGCAATAAAAGTTCCCGTACACAGTGATTACACTATCACTAATAGACTGGAATCATTATTTAGTTATTTAGTAAGAAAAAAATATACATGTGTAGAGATCTTAACATATTCGGATAAAAAGACACATATGGAAAGATGTTTATTTATAGGCATAATTAAATGCTTTCAACTACCTCAACAAATCAAATCGAATAATGAAATCAATGAAATTTTCAAGTACAGTAAGGTCTCATTACATGCGTGCACGTATTCGTAGCAGAAACCACATCGCCACAAACGTTCAAGGGACGTAATACGATGATGGTCAGAATAAAGTGAGAAAAGAGATAGAAATAGGTATGCAGCATGGTGAGTGTGTGTGTCCAATCGGCCTCCACCGATTGAGCAAACAGTCTCTACCGCACTGAGATTTGAAGCAGCGGACACTGATTTGTAATCGTAGTCCTTACCTGCTCGGCTACTTTTACATATTGTAATGACGATAACGAAATACTTAATTCATTCTGTCCTTACTTAAGGCTGGCCATGTCAGTTGATACGCCCGACAACTGTATATCTTGAAGATGGATAGTTCGGGATTTGGCCAACCTTGACGGTATGGTAATAGTCTAAAGGCAAGAGTGGCGTATTTTACTTTATGTAATACAAAGCGTAAAGTTATACTAAAAGCTTTGTAGTCTAAATATTTGGTTCCACGGGGGTCAGGAGCCCGCTCACAGGTTGGAGAACTAGGAAGGTACGCCGGAAAGTATATCGTCCCTGTGAGCCCTGACTGCTTGGGTACGGCCCTTCGGGGAGTATCGTGGTGGCTGTGGTTTTCACATTTCCATAGCCATTGGAAAAAATTCGAGGTGAAGATAGGCCTTACCACCTACCAGAGTGGTGGTGCATTTGGCCATACCCAGTGCGCTGTCTGAGAACCTCGGGGTAAGAAAGGCCCCCTTATTAGGGGATTGTCTTTCCCCCCGAGGGGTCATCATTCAACTTAAAAGAGTGCCTATGGTTGTAGGCAACCCGTCTGATTAAGGCATCACGCCAGGTGCAGACGTTAAACCCCAAGAGACATCTGTCCTTACTTAAGGATTTCAGATATTTCTTTATTGAAACTAGCTAAAGGTCTTCATAATCTAGAAATGCAGAAATGGACTTTAGTATAAAAACCGATCTCACGACCTGTTCTGATTTACGAAAACATTCATATCGCCATTGTGTCGTGAAAGCTCAGAACAATGCAATCAGATCTGTTGTTTGTAAAATGTCAAATTCTAAGGATCTGGTTTTGCTTCGTATGCTTCATATAGCAGCTTCATTCCGTAATAGATTTTAAAATTTGTAAACTTATCGATGTTTGCTTGGATTTGTCAAACGTTTTTCGTATAACTATTAAATTAAATTAAGGCATCGCTCACAGGATAGTATTCTATGAGCAATAACAAATTTGCCTCGAATGTTGACAGGAATCACCTTCAAGTTTGCTTCAATAATGTGTCACGAATAAACAATTATTCCAAGGCCAATATTAGATCAGACCTATTGCATTTTTTCCCTCATTTTGTGTATTTTAAGCAAAAAAAAAAAAAAAAAAAAAGAAAAGGAAAATCAATTTAAATATTCTACTAAAAGTTATAAAACTTGGCTCAAGAACTATTTTAATTGAAAAACCTACAGAAGCTCATTTAAAGTTCCGCTTTAAAAGCAATCATCAGATACGAGGTTTATATGAACAGCAATTGCAGGTAGTTGTGTTGAATATAAGCAAGATCGTGATCGTCCCGGTTACCATTTTAATGTTAATATTACGATTGTCACTACTATTGCCTTTGCTATTATTATTACCGCTATTTTACTATTTCTATAGTTATGGGTTTTCCTATTCCTGCATCGCTACTACGTTGTCCATTACTATTCATTTCATCAGTATTGTTGTATTGTTGTTAAACATGGAAATTAATACGTCTTCCTTTGGTGAAGATTACTGGGTGGGTACATTCCAATTAGTTGTTTTCGACACTTGGATTAAGGATGAGTTTAGAGGCACTTCGCATCGCATCGAACTGAATTTCATAAATACATGTACATTAGCTTTTATATACGTACGATATTTTTGATTGGCCGATCCACGAATATTTGAATTTACAGTTGTGTTGGGTTTCCTTGACGTTTTACAAAACGTATCGTCGTTGATACATAACGTATGTAGTTCTTTAGTAATTACGAGGGCACGGTTCGATCAATTTATTCCAAACTTGATACTTGTCTTTTCAAATTAAGACGGAATGTCTGGATAGTTTTCCAAGTCATATGCTAGAGGAACAAAGAAAAAAATTGTTGACTAACAAAAATAAAAAGCGAAATTTTTCGATCAAATTGCTTTTCGTTCGTAAAAAATATTAAGACCGTAGCTGTAAAGTTGTTTCTTCTCACGAGTTTTATGAGCGTAATTGCAATTCCAGTAGGTCGCGCATGGACAGATATGTTTGAACCTTGTAACTTTTGTGTAATTTTGCCCCAAATATGGCTGTATATCTCTAGCACGGTTATTTGTCGTATTGGCCTCGTAATCTGAAAATATTTTATTGCGAAAAATAAGCAAACAGTTGCGCATTATTGGAATACAATTTGCATGCATTGCACACTTGAGGCTCTTTGCGTCATTGAGTCATAAATTTACATTTCGTTTAGTTTAGTTTGAATATTTCGATGCTCATGACTTTGAAAGTTAATTTATAGAACATTCATTTAGGCACCTGAGGCACACATAAAATCTTTTGATTGACGGATCGATTTTGATTAAACATATGTCAATATTTACATTTAATTTGGACTATGCTCTGTGAGCAGATTAATTCGCAAAAGATGCTAAATTAAATGCCCGATCCAATAAAACATAGCAAATGTTATCGCTTATCAACATTGATCAGGCGCTTAAAGGGAAGAACCGGTTCGTTTTATTACGGTAACAGGGTGGTATCAATCGTTTGCCCAACACGACGTTTGAGTTAGATCCGTCTCTGATTGAACCAATTATTTCACAATCACGCTGTAAATCAATACAAGTCCGTCTATAACTCGCCCGTAAATCCATTCTATATATGGTATACGCCGTTTTTAACATTTCTCAGGAAAAGTTGGTGAAATGAACCTTTTTAAACCTCCTGCCACCCAAATGTTCTTATGGGAGACCTTTGTGACAATGAGGTATAAATGATGAAAATGTACAAAATTTACTGTACCAAATTTGGGCCAAGGCGATCTGCATTTTATGTCTTCTCTTATATAAGAGTTCTCATCAAAATTAAATCTTGATACGACGATAAGTCTAATTTTGGTATTTTATAATGAAAATGGCGCCGTAGGATATCTCACGATCGGCTTTCTTTGATTATAACGTATTAATTCGTATTTCTGTTATTTTCATAATTTGGTATAAAAACTTGATGGCTTTCAAAAATAAGCAAAATTTAAAAAATCACTTTAGAAAATTAATTAAAAAAATTACTATTTTTTTCGCATCTCAATATTTCGAAAAATTGTACAAAAATTGTATTCCTGTGTATTTTTAGCGTTTTGACGCGAATACCCAGATTACAGACACTTATCTAAATTTAACTTTATTATATCCATTAAAGAAATATGAGGGATATATTTAATTTGTCAAATCGTTTGCAACGCCCAGAACGAAACTTCTCACGAACTATATATACATTCTTGATCAGTACCAAATTCTAGATCGACATAAGCATGTCCAGACGGCCGTCTGTGCAATGTCTCTTTTAAACATTCCCTGGCCGGAAAAGAAGCTATCGACTTTCTATTTAGTTGAAACATTGCCAGTTTTTGCCTGCAAGTTAGTATTGAAAGTTGGCCAATCGTTCGGGGAACACGCCTACTGTACCACGTAAACTAAGAACACTTCTGCCTCATCAAAATAAAACAGTTAGAAAAATTGCAGCAGTTATACCCATAAAAATTTGAACGCATATTCTATGATTGATGCTATAATAATTGTATAAAAGTTGGCCACACCCGCTCAATATTATATTACATTAGATTACATTTTATTGTTATTGTCGAAACCCTTATAGCCCCCAGAAGCAAGCTTTAAAAACACCATAAAGTATATGTCTTCTTGATCAACGTCAAATTCGGAATGTATTTAAGCATGTCCGTCTGTCCACCTGCCCTACTATGTAGCATCTGCTGTAAATATTCCCATGATCCACACAAATATAAAGATATCGCCTAAAAATTTGTAGAACAAAATGAAAATGACTTCAATTGGTCAAAGGGTATGCCTACAGCGCCCAAACGCTTATGCAACAGAAACGGTTAACATCTTTTCTTTCCGTGTTTTCCGCTTGTTACTCATAGAGTACAATATGCCCGTCATATAAATTTCCAAATTTATTCTAAAAAGAGAAGAGCCGCACCCATCCGATGTTATATAGTATGAGAATTAAGTTCTTCTTCTCTTCTTTATAGTCTTTTTCTTAAGGCAGTAGTAAGAGTGCAAAAAGAGTCCGTCCCAATCGAATATAATTTTCTTACTTGTATCCGATCTTTCAAACAGCTTGATCTTTCCTTTAGGACTTCTTTAGGAGTTCTTATGGGATTATTGCCAGTAAAAGATTAATAAATTGATAGAGTTGCCTTTGCATGAGGCTAACGAAAATTGTAGAGAAATAATTTCTTCTTTGATTTCATCCAGAAAGTGAAATACTTTTAGAAATACTCTTTTTCCATTTTCTAGATATTGAAAAACCCTTTCAGCCTGAGTAGGATATGTAAAGCTATTCAACTTCGGAACATTTTGTCATTGCCACGATTTTGCCACGATTGCGAGAACATGAACTAAGCTTAAGTAAAGTGCCACACGATCACGAAACCTCTAATTAGACATGATTCCCAGAATTTAGTGCCAATCTTCTTGAATGTAATTCGAAAATGTTTTATGATGCAAAACCCCAGCGTCATTTTGGGCGGTAGGTACATGCTGTCACTCTCTATGAGCTAACATTTGTTCAAACTAGCGTTCAAATTTAACTTTGATACTCAATAATAAGCGAAAAAAAAAATGAGGTTACATAGTCTGATAAGAAGAACGTACAATATGTACAATGCGTAACCAAAGTCTAAATAAAAAATGCAAGGCATATGTATACATAGATGTAAATCATATCTTGACAAGAAGTACATATTTAAGCCTAAAAGTAGTAATAAACTGTCATAAAAACACAATTTATTTATTCACTTTTCTTTTTCATTGCAGGGAAAAACTCTCTCGAGCATCGAGCTAACTCGAAATTCGAAAAGCCCTTCGATTATATAGAGTATTTGCGTAATCACGAGCACAGCGAACATAAAATTTACGGATGTGTTGAGAGTTTACGAGTAGCTCTCACTAATAACCCTCTTTCATGGATTAAGGAATTCGGAGAGGAGGGTATCGACGAAATTATTAATTTATTGGGTCGTTGCAAAAAGGAACGTGCCTTCGATCGGATCGAGTTGGAGTGCATACGTTGCTTGAAAGCTATAATGAATAATACATGGGGCTTAAATTTGGTGCTTACCCCCGATCAACATTCGGTTGTTCTTCTACTAGCTCAATCGCTTGATCCTCGCAAGCCAAGTGCTATGTGTGAAGCGGTAAAATTGTTGGCCTCTTTCTGCTTAGTTCCCGAACGTAATGGATACGAAAAAGTCCTAAGGGCGATTACCACAGCCGCTTCTGCATCGTACAAGTCTAGCGAACGTTTCAGACCCATCGTTAACGCCCTCTTCGTGCAAGAGAAATACGATTCCCGTCGAGAACTAGCCTGTCACAGTTTAATATTTATTAATACGTTAACGAATACGCCGAGTGATTTGAATTTTCGTTTACATCTACGTTGTGAAATCATGCGTATGGGCTTATATGAAAAGTTGGACGATTTTAAAAAGATCGTCGAGACTAGCAATAATGATGCTTTAAAAAAACATTTCAAAATCTTTAATGAGATACGCGAAGATGATTTCGAAGCATTCATACAACGTTTCGATAATGTTAGCTATAATATGGATGACGTAACCGATTGTTTTGAGGTGATTAAAAATCTTGTCACAGATACACCAGCTGAACCGTATTTCCTTTCCATTATGCAGCACTTACTGTACATACGCGATGACTTTTACATACGACCCGCTTACTACCAATTAATAGAAGAGTGTATATCTCAAATAGTATTTCACGATGGATACTGTGATCCGAATTTCGAAAATCGAAATTTTAACATTGATACCTCCCTGTTGTTGGACGATATCGTTGAAAAGTCTAAGGCCAAAGAAATGAAACGGTCCGAGGAATATGAAAAAAAAATTGAATTATTGGAAATAGCAAAGCAGGAGGCTGAAGCCAAGGTTGCTCATCTAGAGGAGAAAATTAAACTAATGGAAGCCAGCGGCGGCGTGATACAATCACCTAATAAATTGCCAAAGGTTAATATACCAATGCCGCCAACAGGGCCGGGCAGTGGACCGCCGCCACCGCCTCCACCACCGCCACCAATGCTTGCCATGAGTGGACCAAGGCCACCACCACCTCCACCCATGCCTGGTATGGGCAATCCCCCTCGGCCACCACCTATGCCGGGCATGGGCGGTCCTCCGCCTCCGCCCATGCCAGGAGGTATGGGCGGACCGCGTCCTCCACCTATGTTCAATCCAATGATCCCCGTGCTACCTCAGGGTTTGAAGCCGAAAAAGAAGTGGGAAGTTAAAAATCCTATGAAAAAGGCAAATTGGAAAGCTATATTACCGCACAATATAAGTGAAAAATCTTTTTGGGTCAAATGCCAAGAAGACAAACTAGTATCGGAAGATTTATTAGCTGAACTTTCAGCTAAATTCTCCTCAAAGCCAATAAAAAAAGAGCCAAAAGACTCTGTTGATAAGGCGGCTACACTTAGCAAAAAAAATGTTGACCTAAAGGTGCTCGATAGCAAAGCGGCACAAAACCTTTCCATTCTTTTAGGTGGATCGCTTAAGCATTTGTCTTATGAGCAGATTAAAATTTGTCTACTACGCTGTGATACCGACATATTGTCTTACAATATACTGCAACAACTTATACAGTATCTTCCGCCACCTGAACAGTTGAAACGTCTGCAAGATATCAAAGCGAAAGGAGAACCTTTACCACCTATTGAACAATTTGCAGCTACTATAGGTAATGTGTAGTGCAATTTTACAAGTATCAACGCACAAACTCTTATTTATCTCCATTCCAGGCGAAATTAAACGCTTATTGCCACGTCTGCATAATTTGCACTTTAAATTAACCTTCGATGACCAAATGCAGGATGTAAAACCGAATATCGTGGCTGGGACGGCAGCTTGCGAAGAGGTTCGTAATAGTAAAAAGTTTTCCAAAATATTGGAACTTATTTTGCTAATGGGTAACTACATGAATTCTGGATCCAAAAGCGAGCCGGCCTACGGTTTTGAGATTTCCTACCTAACAAAACTTACAGGCACAAAGGACGCGGAAAACAAACAGACTCTATTGCATTTCCTAGTCGATGTGGTGGAAAAGAAATTTCCGGACGCTTTAACATTCTACGAGGATTTGTCCCATGTAGATAAAGCGTCACGTGTTAACTTAGACGTCTTACAAAAGTCAATGCGACAAATGAATGCAGCCGTGAAAAATTTGGAGACAGATTTGCAAAATAATAAAATCCCACAATGCGACGATGATAAATTTTGTCAGGTTATGGGTCAATTTGCGAACGATTGTAGACAACAAGTGGACGTATTAGGTATGTTAGGACAAAAAGCAAAAATTGGTGAGCAAATTCCATAAATTTGTTTCTTTTTCGATTTTTTTTTTTTTTTTTTTTTTTTTTAGGGAAAATGCAAGTACAAATGGAAAAATTGTTCAAAGATTTGGGTGAATATTTTGCTTTCGATCCCACAAAATATACGATGGAAGATTTCTTCGCCGACATTAAAAGCTTCAAAGATGGTTTTGTGCATGCACATCAGGAAATTGTTAGGCTGCGGGATGAGGAGAAAAGAAAGAGTCGCATGCAAGAGGCTCATAAACAATCCCTGCGTGAACAACAAGAAAGACAACAACGCAAATTGGCTTTGGTGGATATAGACGCAGCCCAAGCGCAAGAAGGTGTTATGGATAGTTTAATGGAAGCACTACAAACGGGCTCGACCGTACTTATTCGCAACAATCGTCAGCAAAGGAGACAAAGACCGGCGGGTGCCGAGAGACGTGCGCAACTAAGTCGTAGTCGTTCGCGGACAAGAGTAAACCCTGGTAATCTGGTGCCACACGAATTAATGACCAACGAAGCTTTAATGGGTTCCGCCTGAAGCTTTCCAATAAATATCAACAACTATCTGTGTTATCATTTCCGATTTCCTTGTATATACCGATATATGTATATATAAAATGTATTAGTCAAACAAATGCCACTTATAGCTATATAAGCAGTTAACGTTAAAAGCCACTAAATACGCCGAAATATTTTTATACAACGAAACTGGAACTTATTAATTCATAATAGCTTTTAAGTTTGCTTTTGCTTCCTTAATTTTAACCAAAACAATTTTTCTTTCTCTTCCTTTCTCTCTGTCTTTTGATTTTTCTTAATGTAAATGTAACGCTTCGCCTCTCTTTTGTATTAAATTGAATTTTGTGAAAACTTTTATAATTGAAATTAGTTCGTTTTAATTAAGAATCTATTACTTTAAGTAAATTTTAAAAAATCTAAGCAAACGTATTTTTAATTGAACAAAACGAGTTGTTTTGAAGAATAAAATTCGATAATTTATTGCGAGAGCAGAGTCGATTTCTAATTTTATCGGTTTACTTAGCTTCGACATAAACCTAAATAACATTGAACACATCAAATAAAAAATGCAGAAAATGAAAAGAATAAATTCTTAATCCTCAACAAGTAGAGTCATAGTAGATCTTGAAAATTATTTTTATTTCAATGCCTATTATTTGCACCACTGCAAAATGGAAATATAGTCATTTTGTTTTTTTCCATAATGTATGTAACAGCCGAAAGCAAGCTTCAGAGAACCTATAAAGTACATATATTCTTTTTCAATGTGAAATTCTGAATTCACTTAGCCATCTAGTCTGTCCACTGTGTCCACTTGTACACTTTTACGACGAGAGACCTTCGACATCCGCAAAGGCAATGCAAGCATTGCAAAGATGGCAGCAAAAACCTACAGGGAAGATACAGCGAACAACAATCAACCCCCACATGCATCGTACGGCAATCAACTCCCACATACAGCGAACAATAATCAACCCCCACACAGAGTCCGCCAAGAAAAAGACAAAGACATGAAGCAGACCAGCCTGAAGAGCCCGCAGTCTAGGAAAGAACAGCGGCCGCAGTGCCGGATGTGGAGACACTGCGAGAAGTCGTGAGTTGATTAACTCCTCACGACAAAATAGTAACGCTCTAGATAGACGAGATGTACAAGAACCTACGAACAAAATATTTAGATGAGGAAGATAGGCTTATCGGATGCGACTATATTGAGGGTAGCAAAGAAAAAATATACAGGACGGTATTTGTGATAGGAGTCCGCAGCATATTAACGTCGTTCAATATGCTACTCGGCACATATCCCGCCATAAAGTGGAATAAAGGCTCAAAATTATTAGATGATTATATTGGCTTGGCGGCGGACATGGGACTCGACATTAAGGCGGTGGTTACCGACCGATCCAATCAAAATAGAAAGATGATGGAATGCTTCAACAATGGCATCTATCGGAAAAAAAACCAAGTGGGACGAGTTATTAAATTCCGCCTGATATACGACTATATCCATCTGGCGAAAGCCTTCTATGCACATATGAAAGGAAACAAGCTATACGACCACGAAATAACCGCAAATTTAAAAAAGCATTATTTCAAAGACCAAAAAAAAAATTTACGACTATTGGATAGATAGAGGTGTAGTACCATCGGTCGTGATTCCTGTGGATTTTCCTGTGTACATCGCCTACTACGCCAACGCTACGCCAGCGTTCATCAAAACGGCTATGAACAGAAATATAGTCAGAGGTCCGATGGTGGAACGGACGTACAAATATATAAAGGCGGCAACAAGATTTGTAAACGTCTTCCATAGAAAGACCATCAACGCATCCAATTGGGAGGGGCGAAAAGGCGAATTAAAAGAATAGAAGAAGCCTATAAATTTTTCCAAAGGCATTTAACCGCAACTCTGCTCCCCATCGAGACGCGAACTTCATCAAAATTGTTGACAAGTTACTACGTGCTTACTCTGAAATTTCAGTTGCAGAGTACAGGGTAAGGCAAGATATAATAGAAAGGTTTGCGTGCAATGTTGCTCCAACTTACAGGAAGAGAACGAGGTCGGAACCCGATATCGAACTCCTGGCGCGGCGATTAATGGCGAAACAAAGAGAACATTGGATGCAAGAACATGGAACGACCGGGGACTACGACCTAATCGAAACGTTAGACTACAGAATCCCAAAACAGGCCGATCAAGAGTTTCGGCCACTCGGCCTGGACGGCGTTCCATACAAAAACGTAGGAGCTCGCCGACGAACGCTACAGCATACCGGATATTTCAGGCTGATGACGAGGTATGCTGTAGGCAAATACATTAGGAATGAAATGAAATGCAACGCATGCTTAAATGAACCGACAATAACCAAAAAAAAACGCGTGCAAGAGAGTACGCGGCCAAATTGTTACAAAAAATAAGTACGATAACAACATATTATCGTAGAGATACTTTAAAGCGGAATTTTTAAAGAAAACGTTCAAAAAACGTTTAAAGCCGTCTATAATATAGTATACGAAATTTTCGACGAATGTATGCCTGATAGAAATCTTGGAAAAAATATCCAAGTAACCGCGTTAAAAAAACTGACATTCCTCAAAACGCAAGGATGCTGCGCAAATGGGGTGGAGCACCGAAGAAACCTGCTGGGTTATGCAATAAAATTGGCGGTACGCGGCGAAAGAGCCGGTTTGCAACGTGTCATCATTCTCCAAGCAACTTCCGGACAAGTCATAAGTATATTTTATTAATGTATATTATTATTATATTATATTAATGTTTGTTAATGCAATGTATGATGCATATATTAAATTACTATAATTGTAAAATATGTATTTATGTATATAATGGTGTAGGCCTAAAGGGTAGCCATTTAAAACAATTGGCAACGCGCCTGGCACGGTACCTCAAAGGTGGTGTGGAAAACCGTGAAAAGAATGCCGTCCACCGGAAAACGAAGATGGAAATGAAGAAGAAATGATGAAAATTCCGACTTTCCGGTGAATCAATTTGGGTGGTGAAGAAATTTGATTCGCCTTTACGTTCCACAGCCACTTTACGCATATCTTGTAATAATATTGGTGCTATAGCCTTTGTTGGATGTGTCATATAAATCGGTCCCGAATAGCCTACCTAAGTATTATATTAATCAATGTAATGCGTGGTAATGCGTATCAGCATGATAAAGTAAACAATTAATTTTATTCAGCTATTATACGATTATTGATTGATTTATAGATATGTACAATATGTACAACTTTTTACCTACCATTTCAGACATATAAGGCAAAGCACTGCAATGAACTTAAATGAAAAGATGAAAGCAAACTTCTTTATAATTTCATTCTTTCCAAGTTTTTCCATTTCAATATTCACCTAAATAAAAAAGGGGACAATTGACAGTTTTTACAACTAGTTTTCGGCAATTTGAAAACTGTAGCCGTACGATTGCCGCAATCTTGACATTCAAAGAAACGTTTTTCGGCGTCGACGACCTTCAAGGGATGCTTTGCTTCTTTGCAACGTTCAGCCGCCGAAAATGCCGTGTATAAAAATTTGGGTGCATACGAGAATAAGCGAAAAATGTGAGAATAAGCGTATAAAAATTAAATTGCAATTAATATAATTACTTTCTTCCTTTTTTTTTATTGCTTAATACGATTCTCTTTAAAATGTAGCAAGGAGTGCTGTGGACAGTAATATATTAGCAACCGCGGCTACAAACGGAGTTGTTTCGGTATGGGATATATCGAAGTTTGGGAGATAAAAGCAATTGCTAGTGTACAATGACCATGAAGGCACCGCTCATACGGTTACATTTCATAGCGGTGAAGCGAATATTTTGATTTCAGGTTACCAAGATGGTACTATCAAATGCTTCGATACGCGTTGCGATAAAGCTATTTACACATTTTACAGTAATTCAGAATCAGTTAGAGATGTGAAATTTAGCCCGCATTGTAATAACGTATTCTCGGCTGTATCAGAAAATGGTACTGTCCAATTATGGGACTTAAGAAGGTAGTAATTCTTACGTGCTATAACAACAAAATTTGCTTTAATTAATACAATTTAATTTAAAAAGGGGTGAGAAGTGCTTGTTACAATTTACAGCACACAGTGGTCCAATTTATACCTGTGGTTGGTATTCAACAAATAATTGGTTGGCCACAGGGAGCAGAGACAAACAAATTAAGGTGCTCTTTGAGGTAAAAATAGTTTGTTAAAAATATAGGAATTTTACCTTCAGGATTGGAATATGGATGGTAAAAATTACGTAACAATGGGTTCACCCCAAAATGAATATGGTATGCACCGCGACCTGGTTGATTAATTTGTTCTTAATAATGCCAGCGATATGGGTATCAAATAAAAGAGCTTGGAGAGTAGAATACGAAAAGCATAGTGGTGGGTATGCACGATTCGGCCCATGCCGAATATAACTTTCTTACTTGTTTTCCTATCATTCTGCTCGGAGTTATAAGTTTCCTACGAAGAGCTTAAGGATAGATGTCCGCTAAAAGAACGAAAGGGCGCACTTTTGAAATTAAGAAAATAATTGTGGAATCGGATAAGTTCCTAATTAAGATAACTTAGAGTTGGGAAATGTTTTTCAACTTCATTATATTTTCAATTAATAAACGACTTGTAGCAGATAACTTTTTTGCGAGAAGTGGAAAAGAACGAAAGCCTAAGGCGTGCAGGATATTCAATTGCTGCTTATACCGCCGATACTGTTGCTAAGTGCTCGTCTACATTGCAGAAAGATGGACCAGTACTAGATGGTAGTCCGTTCTAGTTAGCCGCTTAAAAAAAAAAAGGGATTTTTTGAGTTGAAAAAAGCCTTTAGTCATTTTTTTTGCCGTATCCGAAGTTAAATGTTGAAAAACAATAACGACAAATTCAAAAATGAACCATTGATTTTGTTTGCTTTATTATTTTTATTTTTTAACCCATTACGAAATCTATCACTTTTCCAGCATTATCTTTCTTCGAAGCAAAACTATTTATTATCATTCAAATAATCATTCATTCAATGTATTAAACCAAAATTGAACCAATAAAAAAAAGCATTTCGATGACTATCAGCCATAAAGTCATAATAAATTAAATTATCTTCTCAGCATGTGCTCTAAAGCCAATTCACGTGTTCTACAGCCCTATGTACTCCTATAGTAAAATAGTTTGCACGATCAATTATTGAAGAGTTATGGATAATATGCGGCCGCATTCAAGCAGTGAATGCGAAATCATTTTTACAAAGGCAAAAAAAAAACAAAAATGTTTGTGAGCAACGATCGCGATGCCGGGACGAAAAGAAAAGACAAAGGCCAGAGTCATAAGTTTCGTGCGTTTATTGTTTACTAACAAACTAATTTAAAGGCGACAAAATCTTCAAGCATCTCGTGTACAAGG